CGAGTTTCCAGATAGCGATTCACCCATTTCGCGCAACCGCTCGCTTTATTCCGCCGAGTTGCTCTCTGTTCTTTGGAATTTTTACTCCTGCACAGTTTCGCGGCAACGATTTTACCCCAAAAACTTTGTATACAATTCGAGATATTGATGTTACGGACCTACATACTTGTTTACGGTACAAATTGTTTCGTTCGAATTCTTAGCGTGCTATGGAAATGGGCTTTTAACATTGGTTTATCATATTTATTTATTTTGGTACGAATTTTACGGATGAATTCATTCTGAGGATGCGATAGAAATGGGTATATAGATTTACACTCACGAGGGAGTTGATTGTATTGAGCACGAGTCACATATATCGAATTTTTGAGTTATTGATGTTACAAAGGACTTAGATACGAATTTTTTGTTTGAATTCGTTCTTCAGATACAAATGGGTATCTAAATTTACATGCACGAGGAAGTTGATCGAACACGAGTCACATGTATCGAATTTTTGAGATACTGATGTCACTATGGACGTAGATGCTTGTTTACTTAGATAAGAATTTCTTGTTCGAATTCATTCTTCAGATACAATAGAAATGGGCATATAGAGTTACATCCACGAGGAAGTTCATTGTATCGAACACGAGTCACATATTTCGAATTTCTGAGGTATTGATGTTACTATGGATTTAGATGTTTATTTACTTCTATAAGAATGTTTTGTTCGAATTCATTCTTCAGATACAATAGAAATGGGCATATAGAGTTACATCCACGAGGAAGTTCATTGTATCGAACACGAGTCACATATATTGAATTTCTGAGATATTAATGTTACTATGCCCTTAAATACTTATTTACTTCTATAAGAATTTTTTGTTCGAATTCATTCTTCAGATACAATAGAAATGAGCATATAGACTTACATCCACAAGGAAGTTGATTATGTCGAACACGAGTCACATATATCGAATTTTTCAGATATTGATGTTACTTAGGACTTAATTCAAACTACTCATATCAAGGTAAATAAGTATCTAATTCTTCTAAAAAATGTAATAGAAATAAACACTTATAGTCACACACATCAGAAGTGAGTAGCACCAAACATGAATCACATACATTGAATTTTCGACAACATCAAAGACAAATTGAACAGTGAAAGTGAGTCTTGAAATTAGAAATGCATTCTTCTGTTTATTAAAATGTAATGCATTAATGAAATACATAAAAACTTCTTACTTAAAAAAGATACAAATTATAACAACATCATGTTCAAACATTTTCATCCATGTTTCCTGATATCTACATTAGTGAATAAGTTAAAAATCATTTTTATAAGCTTTCTAAAAAATTAAACAATATATCAGCTCTTAAATTATTGTCTTAACACGTTGACTGCCACGTCATCCATACATGGGTGACACTTAAGTTGCTAAACTGACTTAACATGAGCATTATTAAAAATTTGTTCACTTTTCTCATAAAAAATTCTTGCATTAATTACATGGATCTATGGAAAAGAAATGTAATAAGATGTTGTGAAAATATTTAGTAAAATTTATTAAGAATTAAAACGCTACTTGATAAAATTTTTAATTGTTTCAATGTGGCAGTCAATGTGTTAAATTGTATGGTCTTGAAACTGCTAAAAAATTGTATCATCTCGAAATTACAGTAAAGCCGAATCTCTCGGACTTATATCGTGCAGATCATTTTCTCCTCCACGAGGAGGCATATTTGTGAATCAATAGAGACTGACAAGGTTCATATGACGTACAGGCGGATTGTAAAGACTGTGAAGTATAATAAAGAGACGTAGAAAGTGGAAAGGAAGAGAAGAGAGGACGTGGAAGTGGAGGACGTCCCACAGGAGGTCAGCAAAGGCCTCACGGAAGGCCGGATCGGCTACACGGTTGGCCGTACTATAAATATTTCATGTTAATCGATATACGTGCACACGGAAGTGTGTCATGCACGTTGTCCTACAAGTCGACACAATGCTCCACATACAAGGGTTACGTTCGTCGAATGATCTTGCACGATCGAAGTAACTCGTTTTGATCACTTTTAATTCTTTTTTAACGGGGTTAATGAACTGAGATTAACCCTCGAAAGGCCAATCAGAAATAGATACACGTGTGGTCCATATGAAGTCAATTTTGATATATCAATTAATCATTGTAGATTGATAAATTAACTGGAAAATAAAAATTGTGTAGATTGCGTGTACGGTGAAGAAAATTTTGAATGTATCAAAATATCGTGCAGCAATCGAGTCCGTATTCGCCCAAGTATCGGAAAACGTATCGTACAAAAATCTTGAATAAAACGTTTTACATCTTCGTAGGAAAATATCAGACATTTTCCGACATTTCCTCGGAAACTTTTCGAATGTTAAATTTCTCGTGGAAAGAGGATGAATCGCGAGTCCGCGACTCGTCGCGAGAATAGAATTATGGCGATGTGTGTCGAAGTTCGATTGTTCGGCATCGATAGAGATAGATGACCCCCGGATAAATTTTCTCAAGACGTTTTCAGCTTGTTTTCTTTCGTTCGAATGTAAATTTCCATTCTGGTCGCGTTACCGTGCTAAATCGACCATTCTAAAAGCTCTAACAGGGTTACTAGGAATATTTTAATGGCCGGTTCGGTATGTTTGCTCGCGTGGGCGTAGGGGCATTCGATCTTTTATTTCGGTTAAATTGCACCGGCTCGAACCTTTGCCATTTTCGATCCCCCCTTCCATGGCGGACCGTTATATTCCCTCGAATTTTTCTGTCGATCTTTTTATAGGGTCGTGAATTTCTAATTCCTTCGACGGGATCATTTCCGAACAGTAATTATTTTTGTACCGTGTATTTATACTTTTATTGAGAACTTGCTACGATCGTTATTGATCTGCCTTCGTTCCTAAAAATTAACGCCTTAACCTACAATTTTTACAAGTTATTTTATTTCATTTTTATTACAAGTTATTTTATTTTATTTTTATTACAAGTTATTTTATTTCATTTTTATTACAAGTTATTTTATTTTATTTTTATTACAAGTTACTTTATTTTACTTTCATTACAAGTTATTTTATTTTATTTTTACTACAAGCAACTTATTATTGCTACAACGTTAAAGCAATTTAAGGACATTAATACACATATTCAGCAATTCTTGATTATAATCAGAATTGAAACCAAAAGTCAATTGTTGCGAAAATATGAGGGTTTATCATATTCGAAGTGGGCGTCACGAGCGCCAATTTCCAATTCCCAATTTCCCCGATTCCAAATTTCTCCAATTCCAATTTTTCCAAATTCCCAATTCCCCCGATTCCAAATTTCCCCAATTCCAATTTTCCCCAATTCCAAATCTCCCCAATTCCAAATTTCTCCAATTCCAATTTTCCCCAATTCCACATTCCCCAATTCCACATTCCCCAATTCTCACATTTCCCAATTCCCAAATCCCCAATTCCCACAATCCCCAATTTCCAAATCCCCAATTTCCACATTCCCCAATTCCCACCTTGCCCAATTTCCAAATCCCCAATTCCCACATTCCCCAATTCTCACATTCCCCAATTCCCAAATCCCTAATTCCCACATTCCCCAATTTCCAAATCCCCAATTCCCAATTCCCCCAATTCCCAATTCCCCCAATTCCCAATTCCCCCGATTCCAATTTTCCCCAATTCCAAATTTCTCCAATTCCAAATCTCCCCAATTCCAAATTTCCCCAATTCCAATTTTCCCCAATACCCAATTCCCCCAATTCCCCATTCCCCCTATTTCAAATTTCCCCAATTCCAATTTTTCCCAATTCCAAATTTCTCCAATTCCAATTTTCCCCAATTCCAAATTTTTCCAATTCCAATTTTCCCCAATTCCCAATTCCCCCGATTCATCAATGCGACGAGTGCGTCAGAAGTGCGTCATGAGTGTGTCATGAATGCAATGAATGCGTCACGAGTGCGTCATGAATGCGACGAGTGCGTCACGAGTGTCTCATGAGTGCGTCATGTGTGCGTCACAAGTGTGTCATGAATGCGATGAATGCGTCACGCGTGCGTCACGAATGCGACGAATGCGTCACGAGTGTCTCATGAGTGCGTCATGTGTGCGTCACAACTATGTCATGAGTGCGTCACAAGTGTGTCATGAGCGTCATGAGTGCGTCACGAGTGCGTCACGAGTGCGTCATTATATTGCAAGGGGTTGAAAGGAGTAGAACTTTTAATACTTAACGGGCCACATAACATTATAACATAATTTTATTTAATCAAACATGCTTCACAATCATTTTCATTTTACAAATAGATGTACTTCTAACATTTCAAGTAGTAATATCAGTCTTCAATTCTACTTCGAGAAGGCTAGCTCCCATAATACCAAGCGTTTTAGATATTCTAGATATTCCATTGACGATAACCTGAGTTCCAAGAATATTTCTAGTGGCACAGTGTCTATGTAAACTATCTTGCAATTTATTGTGTCCACATACATATAGTCACTGAAGTATGAACAAAATTGAAAGGTGATCAAAATTTTAAGCTGAACAAAATTGAAAGATGGTCAAAACTAAAAGCTGAACAAAATTGAAATATGGTCAAAATTGAAAGCTGAACAAAATTGAAATCTGATCAAAATTAAAAGATGACCAAAATTGAAAGATGACCAAAATTGAAAGCTGAACAAAATTTAAAGCTGATCAAAATTAAAAGATGACCAAAATTGAAAGATGACCAAAATTGAAAGCTGAACAAAATTGAAACATCAATAAAACTGAGAGCTGAACAAAATTGAAAACTAAATAAAATTGAAAGCTAAACAAAATTGAAACATCAACAAAACTGAGAGCTGAACAAAATTGAAAACTAAATAAAATTGAAACATCAACAAAACTGAGAGCTGAACAAAATTGAAAACTGAATAAAATTGAAAGCCGAACAAAATTGAAATATAAACAAAATTAGTATAATAAAAATAGTGTTAACAGTAATGAAATCTGTGTTTCAGAATTGCTGGCGAACAAAACGGGTCAAATGGTTGGCGAATTCGAGAAGCTGGGTCAATTTTACAGCGACTGTTTGGCGTTCAAAGAGAGAGCGGTGAATTTTACACCCGGTAAGTGAATCTTCCGTTTCGATCGATACGTTTAGAACGCGGTTTCTCTATTTGGAGCGTGTAGTAGCCTTCTCTATTTGGAGGAACGATACGCGCTGACAGACAAATGTATCGTTGTTGCCGGATACAACGTCACGACGTCGCGTCGCTGTGTCGACCGTTCTAACGACGCAGTTTCCGGCGACGATACGCGATCAAAATGAAACTCTCGAGAGCCTTGATTCGATTTTGATAGATACGGACAAGACGCTTTATCGCGTAAGAAACTTAATAATAACACCGCTTTACTAGAATATCGTTTGTAAAGCGATACTTTACTGTTCTCTTACAACGATTCCCACGAGATCTATTCTGATGGGAAAAGAAATATAGGATCGATTAAAGGAGTAGTTTACAAATTTTGCTGTTTATTTTTATACAGAATCGTTTAAATTAGGGTAGGTTATCTTTAACTTAAGAGAGGCAATATCTTTAGAATTGAAAGATGAAGTATTCTTTTGCCCCAAATAATTTTTGAATTACTCTCTGACTACAAACATCAATTTCTACTGAAGTACAAGAAATTAATTAGCTACAGTGTCGATTTCAACCCCAATATCTCTCAAAGCCTAGACGAAAGTTGCATGAATTCGGAAGACAAATTATCCGGAGAAGATAGCTTTCTTCTTCGAGGACCAAGAATTCATTGCTCCTTCACCTCCTTCTACGTCTTTCTCTTTTTCTCTGTCGTCATTTTTACTCTTACTTTTATTCTACTCTGCTATCTTCACTTTTCATTTCTTTCATTCTTTGTCTTCTCTGATGTGCTTTTTGAATGACTTCCTTTTAGAAGTTCAAATATATGTACAGGGTGTCAAATTTATACACTCAAATATTTATGTAAAGATGATACACTCAAATGTCTAATTGAAGAGGACTTTTTTTAAAGTCCTTAAGAATTTTTATTGTTAAAGAGAATAAAGAGAATTTTTTTATAAAATTGCAGGTAAAAGTTACATAACGTCCAAGACAAATGTGACGTATGTTGTGTATGAACATATGTTCTACATGAACAAAATATGAAGATCAATTTCAACTTTTTAAATGAATTTTTAATGCATAGTTCTGTACAAAATTACTCCACAATTGCTTCACATTTTCTGCAATCACAAAATCAGTTATGAAAAATTATGTCTCGTATTAACTTACCGAAAGCTGTTAACCTGACTATAAATAGTTGCATAAACATTGACCTACTACAGTTATCCTTCACAGAGCACTATTAACCAAGGTTAACTATAGTCGCCAACAGCTGTTAAGCGACCTATCATTAACAAAGTATATCGTACAAAAACTGAGCAAACGTATCCCCGAATAAAAGCGGACTAACTATACAAAAAACGTGGATACACTCGAGCGTGGGATCGAGGGTTCTGCGAATTCCGAGAATAAAATAAATCGTGGGAGTAAGAAGGGATGTGCGTAATGGACACGATAGCCCACAACACGGAACACCCCATGTTTCGATTCCAGATGCTCGCAATCTTATTTTACACGGATCCCTTGCTCCATAAATACCAACTCCATAAAATGCAACCGAAGGAAACTAAATACGCTAAATGAAATTTTGCTAATGAAACTTGCCACGAACGTTTGTAACAGAATTGTAATAAAAATGCAGTTGCTAATTGGAACTTGCGACGAACATTTGTAACAAATCTTGTAATAAAAATGCTGTTGCTAATGAAATTAAAACGAAAATTTGCAAGAGAACATTTAATAGAAATGTAGTTGTTAATGAAACTTGAAACAATAATTTATAACAGAACATGCAATAAAAATGTTGCTAATGAAACTGGCTACGAACATTTGTAACAGAACTTGTAATAAAAATGTAGTTGCTAATGAAACTGACTACGAACATTTGTAACAGAACTTGTAATAAAAATGTAGTTGCTAATGAAACTTACAATGAAAATAACCAAACACTATAAATAACTAAACTACATTAACCAAATAATGTAGTTGGTTAATCTTTCAATTTCGTTTTTGAACTTGTTACTGTATTAATACGTTGAACACCACAGTAGAAATTGACGTATGTAGTCAGACTACAGTATACATTATTAATAATAGAAGAATACTTAATCTGTCAATTTCATTATAGAACTTGTTACTGTACTAATATGTTGAACACCACAGTAGAAATTGACGTATGTAGTCAGACTACAGTATACATTATTAATAACAGAAGAATACTTAATCTTTCAATTTCATTATTGAACCTGTTACTGTACTAATATGTTGAACACCACAGTAGAAATTGACGTATGTAGTCAGACTACAGTATACATTATTAATAACAGAAGAATACTTAATCTTTCAATTTCATTATTGAACCTGTTACTGTACTAATATGTTGAACACCACAGTAGAAATTGACGTATGTAGTCAGACTGCAATGCAAAAATTATTCACAGCAAAAGAACACTTGCTCTTTCAATTTCATCATTGAACTTGTTACTGTACTAATATGTTGAACGCCACAGTAGAAATTGACGTATATAGTCAGACTACAATATACATTAATAATAACAGAAGAATACTTAATCTTTCATTTTCATTATTGAACCTGTTACTGTATTAATACATTGAACGCCACAGTAGAAATTGACGTCAGTAGTCAGACTGTAATACAAAAATTACTCCCAGTCAAAGAACACTTGTTATTTCAATTTCATCATTGAACTTATTACTACATGTATTAATACCTTGAGCGCCACAGTAGAAAGTGACATCAGTAATCAGACTGCAATACAAAAATTATTCACAGCAAAAGAACACTTACTCTTTCAATTTCATCATTGAACTTGTTACTATATGCATTAACACCTTGAGCGCCACAGTAGAAAGTGACATCAGTAGTCAGACTGCAGTGCAAAAATTATTCACAGCAAAAGAACACTTACCCTCTCAATTTCATCATTGAACTCGTTACTATAATGTATTAATACCTTGAGCGCCACAGTAGAAAGTGACATCAGTAGTCAGACTGCAATACAAAAATCATTCCCAGTCAAAGAACACTTACTCTTTCAATTTCATCATTGAACTTGTTACTATAATGTATTAATACCTTGAGCGCCACAGTAGAAAGTGACGTCAGTAGTCAGACTGCAATACAAATATTATTCACAGCAGAACACTTACTCTCCTAATTTACATCTCTCAACCTATTACTGTACATCATTACCTCACAGAGCTCTAGAAAATATCTTCCACTTGCTATATTCCATAATTAATTTAACTGAATTTGTAATATGACATGTGACCGAAGATGACACGTGAACAAGGGTTAAATGTGAACAAGGGTAACACGTGACCAAGGGTTAAATGTGACCAACATGCCAATGCATCAGTAGTCTCCAGTCCCCATTTTAAATAAAAAATGAAAGCATCTTACAACAGCGAAAAAGAGCAAAAGAGAATCGGTGTGCGTAGAAAGGTACACGTGTTGCACGTGAATGTTACGGCGTACAGTAGGCACGTTGCACGGCAACGTGAGCACAATACATCTGTCACGGCGTTCATTCATTTATTCAATCGTCGACACAGATGTTCCATTTTTGCCCCCTTTGCCTCGTTCCTCTTCTTGGAACGGCGAAGGCAGCGCTTTCGTTGGCCGAACTGATCGATTATTCATACGCATGGAAAATCACGAAACTCTCCCGCGAGCAATAAAACCGGCTTTACTTTTTTACCACGGATCTCTGTCGATCTGGTCGCATATGGTCGTCGCTGTACAAACGCGTCACCGGCGTAACCGTATTCGTTATAAATTCATCGGAACGTTGATATTTCGAGCGATTTATGCCGCTTTGGGCCACACGTTTATTTACGAATAAACATTTCGTTCTTTTTTTTTGCGCTTCGATCGTAAATCAGGATCGCTTCTTCGACTCTCTATTTTCGTTCCGTCTCAATTTTATTTGCGCGATGTATTAAAAAGAGGTCGGGCGTTTTGTCGAAGTAGCAACTCGACGGAAATATTTTTCAAGATCGCTATCTTCCTGCACCGTGTTCTCGTAAACTGATTTCAGAATTTAAATGCAAAACTTTGCATTGCTTTTTTACCGATAAATTTTCGTAGTTACGAAAACAGTAAATACAATCGCAATACGGAATATCGCTTTGCGTTTCATTTCGAAGATTTCAATTTTCACAGCGATGCATTGTAAATTTTCTTACATTGACAGAATTCGTAAAATTCTACGAATATTCTTTTCGAATAAAATTTTCAGTTTGCTCGTAAAGGAAGTAAAGCCAAATAAAATCGAGCCCACAAAACCCTCGATACCTGCATTCGAAAAGTATTTCGATTAAAGAAGCGCTGCACACTGACAAAAGTGTCGACCTAAATTGTCCGTCCACAAAGCAGGAGGGCGAAACAATATCTTCGTGTAATATTAAAATATTACGGATCGCAGTTCTCTGCAGTGGAAGAATATACAGGGTGTCTCGCAACTAGAGTCTCTGAGGGGTAGCTGATTCTGAATAGGATTTCCCTTTGCAAAAATGGGATTTGAAGCTTCGTTTTTTTATTGGGTGGTAGGGTTCGCGATTCTGAACAACTTTTTTCTTTGCAAAAATTCGATTTGAAGCTTCGTTTTCGAATTATTAAGGAAAAACATGGACCAATCAGAGCGCGAGGACGCGCGCGCAGACGCGAGAGCGACAGCGGAGCGCAGCGGTTGGTGCGCAGCATCCTCGCGCTCCGATTAGTCCGCGCGCATGCGTAGACGCGAGAGCCATAGCGGAGCTTAGCGGTTGGCGCGCAGCATCCTCGCGCTCCGATTGGTCCGCGCGCATGCGTAGACGCGAGAGCCATAGCGGCGCCTTGCGTCTACGCCTCCGCAATCCTCGCGCTGTGATTGGTCCTTCTTTTTCCTTAATAACTCAGAAACGAAGCTTCAGACCGAATTTTCGCAAAGGAAAAACTTGTTCAGAATCTCAAACCCCAC